GGGCTAATTTAAGATGTAAGAGCTGGCTAAGAATACACCTGAGTCATTGGCCAAACAGTATTGTAATTAATATAGTTTCTGTTTGATTATTCAGGTCTGGTGACCAGGAAAAACAAAGCACAGCCTCCTTTTACAACAAGGTTTCTTTTTTTTTTTTTTTTTTTTGGTTTTTCAAGACAGGGTTTCTCTGTAGCTTTGGAGCCTGTCCTGGAATTAGCTCTTGTAGACCAGGCTGGCCTCGAACTCCCAGAGATCCGCCTGCCTCTGCCTCCCAAGTGCTGGGATTAAAGGCATGCGACACCACCGCCCGACCAACAGGGTTTCTTTGTGTAGCCCTGGCTGTCTTCGAGCTTACTCTATAGACCAGGCTGGCCTCAAACTCAGAGATCCCCCTGCCTCTGCCTCCCAAGTCCTGGGATTAAAAGGATAAACTACCCCTGCAGCCATCACCACCAGGCTTGCAAAAAAAAAAAAATCTTGTGCAAGCTGACACTGTAAAAGCCAGGGTCAGGAGAGAAATTCAACCCAGCTGGGCTTTGTGTTGCATGGATTTTTCCATCTGTGTATAAAACAAACTGGATCAGACTGTTCAGAACACATTATGGTCCCAGTGAAAGATGTCTAATCAAATTTCCTATCATCATTCCAGCTTCTCATGGATGGCTGGTGTCTAGGCAGCATTGGTCTCAGGTAGCAGAAATAATTTGAGCTTCTAAGAGGATGTGTTTAGCTCTATGCCACATGGCACTGTGGTTTGTTTTGAAGCAGGGCCTCAATCTGTAGACCAGGCTGACCTGGAATTCACAGGAACCCATCAGGCTCTGTCCCCAAGTGCAGGGAGTAAAGATGTGTGCCACCAATGCCTGGCTCACTGCACCTTTGTAAAACTGGGACCCAGAGAATTTGGAAAGGCCCCAGGAAGCAGTTTCCCGTGGATTCTGAGGGTTAAATGTATTTGACGCAGAACTCAGAACCTAACTGCTCTCTCTCTCTGTCTCTCTCCGTCTCTCTGTCTCTGTCTCTGTCTCTGTCTCTCTCTCTCTGTCTCTCTCTGTCTCTCTCTCTCTCTCTCTCTCTCTCTCTCTCTCTCTCTCTCTCAGTTTTTCCAGACATGGTTTCTTTGAGTAGCCCTGGCTGTCTTGGAACTTACTATAGACCAGGCTTGCCTCAAACTCACAGAGATCCATCTGCGTCTGCCTCCTAAGTGCTGGAATTAAAGGCGTGTGCCACCACCACCTGGCCTGGTCACTGTTATTTTATGTGTCTGTCTCCCCAAAATCAGACACATGGTACATGACCATTGCCATGTCTGTAAGGTGACCTTAGACCTGACCTCAGAGCTGGAGAGTTGCCCAAATCAGCAGAGACCATTGCTACCTGCCTACCGAGAAGTCCCTGAAATGGACTGGTAGGGATAAGAACTAAACAGGAGGACCTGTCCTGTCTTCCCATGACATCTCATAAAGCCATCAGAGCAGGTGGCTGACAGTCCGGGTGTCTCTTCTGCTTTCATCTCCATGTTGGGACACAGAGGGACATGCCCAGATGACCTAGCTAGCCTAACAGTTATAGTACACAGGCTGGCTCCTGACTCCATGAGACTTGGGCAAACAGTAAAGCATTGCTCCCTATCAGCTAATGCAGGAAGTCAATTCCAATCCTGGAGAAAAGCTCCCAAAGCCATCTGGAGTAGGGACTGAGACAGAGGTCCAGAACCCGATATTTGGAGAGTCACCCTGTGATGAGTTGAGGCATCGGTCTTCAAAATATAGTGGCCAATGGTGATCAACTTTGAGTAGAAAACATTCTGCACCCTCCCCCACCACTTACCATCCCCTGTTCACCAAGGGCTTCCCGCTACTGAGCCTCTGTCTCCCCGTGGGCTCAAACACAAACCGCAATTTGCCTCTCAAGTTCTCTTGCTCCTTAGATAGTCTCTTGTCGGGGACGAGCTGGACATAAATCATTTCTCGTACCAGAGTGGAGCTGCGGGAATGAAAACACAACTCACAGGACTATACTGGGAGGGAGTTTCAGTGATCCTTCAAGAATCCTGAATTCACCCGCATTTATTTTTCAAACAGCTTTTATATCAAAATGTAAACCGAGGGGTAAATTCGTTAGCATTCTGTTTGGGGGGGGTAGGATGACTTAGGTAACGTCTTGCCTATCTATGCCCATTTTGTCACGTAGACTGAAAAACACCTCTTCCCCAGATGACCTCCTAAATTACAATAGAAGGTGCAGAACGACATTAGCTTATCCTGACCGCTTGTTTAGGATGGCAGCAGGTGGTTTTTACTGTCAAAAGCCAGGCAACCACCTTCTGTGTGGCAGGTGCAAATTGCGCCTTGTAGGTGGCTCAGACTTCTCTGACCGCCAGACAATGTAGGAATATGGGCCTGCATAACTCAGCCCCTACAGTCTCTGAGCGCCGCTCCTACACGCGTGGTCCAAGAATGGCCTGCCCACCTGCCGGCAGGACACACAGATGGTGGTGCGCCCTCTGCAGGACGGTATAGGAAGGGGGCTCCATAACTGCTGCTGCCTGCTCTGTCTGCCTCAGCCCTGCTGTCCTTCCTGCCTCTGAGCGCAGCCTCATCCCAGGCAGGAGCACCTCTCAGAATCAAGACAATGGCCTGCACCCCACCCCAAGGCCCCAAGCTGTCTCCTGTCCCTCTCCCCTTTTCTCTCTCTTACGTTTCAGTCCTGGAGACCACACATTGAGCAACAAGGCAGAAAAGCATCCTGCTTCCCAAGAGAACAGCAGCTGAACTAGGCTGTGTCCTGACCTTGGTCTGTCAGCACCAAAAAGGGCGCCCCTGTCCTCCCTATGTGTCCATGCGGTACAGAGAGCCGTGCGGGCACCCAGTCTGAACTGTGCCCTCAATGCCCTGGGAAGGTGGAATTTACTTCCAGCAGGAAAGTGACAGAGGTGAATGATGGGAAAGCATGGAACCGCTTGAGAGGTGACCAGAAAAGGGATCTGGTCCGTTGTCACTGGAGTCACCAGTGAGGCTCTGGTCCAGAACAGAGGCTGGGGGACAGCTGCGAGGGTATGAGTGACCTGGAAGAGGACCGTGGCTCCATCTTACTATGAAGGGTTTTCGGGAGCCAATGCAACTGCCAGTGTTGGCTGAGCTATGCATCTGGCCAACCCGTTCCCTCCCTCCAGGAAGCCTGTCTTCTTTGGGTGATCCCCCTGTGGTTACCCTGTCTTTCCCCATGGAAGATGCTAGACTAGAGGGGACTGCACAGGTCCCTGGAACAACAGCACAGTGCTCAAGTGCAGGAAAAGGTCAGGAGATCACACGGACTTGTGGGAGGGAGCTCCTAGTCAGCTGGGACCAGTGGAAGCTAAGTCGCAAGGTGAGTTCCTGACCTAGGCAAATACTGTTCTGAGTGTTGATGATGTGGCCTGATGCCGCCACCTGGTGGTCGGTGGGAAAACTGCAGCTCATGTTTGGGAGCTGCCCACATCGGCAGAAACTGTTACAATTTGGTTCCTCGAGAGAACCCCTTGTGTTGAATTCCTAGGACAAGGCCTTCCCAGGAGGACCTGCATCTTCTGTCCCTCTGCTTGGGGACCTTGACCTTCCTATGAAGTGTCACAAACCCATCAGGACAGCTGACTGATGGCCTGGGCACCTGTCCAGCTGTGATCTCCATGGTGCATCTCAGGAGGTGACTTATTCTGCATGTGGCTGACACGGCAGGGCATGGCTGGTTCCACACGCTATGAAGATGTCAACGCTAAATAGAGCCTCGTTCACTCTTTGGGGCCTTTTCTTTATGGATGATTCTCTGAGAGGACAGGGTTTGGAGAGATGGGAATGGGGCTTTAGGATCGTGCAGGGGTGAGTTGGAGGCTCCTGCTGAACACCTTTGTCATAACAAGCCGTGCTGAGGGGAGTTGTTTCAGCTTCCTGGGGAATCTCCCACCCTGATGCTTTCATTACCACACTGAACAGAAGTCCCTACCATTAGGGTGCCGTTGGCTGGGAGAAAGGGAAGAAGGCAGGGAAGGGGCTTCATGATCTCCACTGCCTCCTCAGTCCTCCGTCTGTGGAGAACAGCTTCAGCCCTGCTCCCCAGCTCCATGCTCTGCTCTCCCTTCTGCTGCCTTCCTGCCTCTGAGCTCAGCCTCCTCCCAGGCAGGAGCACCTTCCAGAATCACAGACTGGGTGTGTCTGTGTCCAAGGCACTGCCCTGTCCCCTCCACTCTCAGGGCTGCTCCCACCCTCTCCCCTTCTCCCCCTCTGTGTTTCAGTCTCCACACCACACAGTGAGCAGCCAGGCTGAGAAGTGTCTGTGCCCTGAGAGAGCGGCAGCTCACCCCAGAGGTGACCTCTGCTGAGTCCTGGCCTTGGTCCATCAGAACCACGGGAAACCACTGGCCTCTCTATGTGATCTTTATGACTAAGAACCCCTGTTCATCCGGGCTGCCCTGCAGGTAGGATTTACACCCAGTAGGCAGGTGACGGATGTCTCCCGGGGCTAAGGGACTAATGGATGATGACTGTGTAAAGGACCTTATCTATGATCACGGGTGTCACAGATCAGAGTTCAGTTCCAGGACAGGTACCCAGGAGCAGGTGTGTCAGGAGTGGGACATTCGGTGTATGTGGGAGGAAGTGACCTGTGTCCCAGAAAGGGGATGTGTGTCTTCTTCTTGTGGAAGGTTTCCAAAAGTCTTTGAGTTCCCTGTGTGGCTGGCTGTGCCTGGATCTTTATAAGTCTACACTGAGCTAACGATGCTGTTCAGCAGGCAGGGGGCTTGCCTAGTTTGTCCTGAGTCAGACCCCAGCATTCGCTGTGAGTCTGAGGTCAACCTGGTCTGCAGAGTGAGTTCCAGGACAGCCAGGACTACATAATGAGGCCCCATGTCAAAAAAAGCAAACAAATAAATCTTGAAGAATGGATCGCTGGGACAGGTGGGGGGGGGGGAGCAGGAAGTCCAGGCCACAGCAAGAAGAAGAGTTGACACAGACCATGGCCTTGGGCAGAGACCCTGCCCACAGCCCGTGTGACTCCCGGAAATGCCCCTGGGGCTAAGGACGGTAGAAATAAGAGAGAAGGACACCAGCAGGCCTGACACCAGGGCAGCACACTGGGGACCGGAGACCATGGAGACCTCTTCTCTGCTTCTCTGCAAAGGGCTCCTGCTCACAGGTGAGACCAGTCCTGCAGTGGTGTGGGGAGGGCTCTCTGGCAGGAAGGGATCCTGGGAGGGGACTCTGCTTCAGGCTGAGGGGAGAGGACACAAGGGGGGAACAGAGGCTGCTCAGCTGGAAGCTCTCAGGGAAAAGGAAAAGCCAGATCATTCTTTATACAAAGTTAGTCACAGGGGGCCTAACAGGAGTGGCTGTGGTCATGGGGGTGTGCTTCCCACTGGGGATTTACCAGTGAGGGGCACACAAGAGGACCGCAAATGTCCTGGGTCAGGCCTAGGCTCTTGTGTTTGTGACCCATCGGGGGCTCTGGAAGGGAGGCAGGGCCTTGATGCTGTGCTTGGAGTTTCCAGGGAGCAGCACACTGTGGAAGGGACTGCAGGGGACAGGGTTGTGCTGGAGGAGACCTAGGCAGCTGGGGCTTTTAAAACAGAAGCAGTGGGACAGGCAATGAGGTGGAAGGATGATGGAGAAGATGCTAGGACTCCACAGAGGGCACGGAAGTCTCCTCTGTGTGAGGAGAAGGAACTGACATTATGGGCAGGGAGGAAATGTTGGGACTGGGAAGGAGACAGCCCTGGAGAGATTCTCTTCAAGGAAGAGAGAGCCGAGAGCCTGAGATGTGGCACAGGAACAGACAATGATTTCTTCGTGAAGCCATGGGTTTTGTGCAATGCTAGAGAGGACCTGTGTGGTGTGGGGTGGTGTGGGGCGGGGTGGGGAGGGGTAGCGGAGGAGTTCTGCATGCTGGGAAAGGTGAAGGAGGATGCTCTAAGGACATTGGGAAGGGGCGAAGGGATTGTCACTGTGGGGGAGTCAGGAGTGGAGGAGGGGTCAAGGAAGGGTATGGTAGGTTCTTTCACTGGGTGAGCAGGGGATGTGCCCTAACCCAGTGAAGTTTGAGCGCACATGTTCCTAGGTGCCTGTCACTCAGGACATCAGGACACCTATGAAGCAGATGGTCTTACACACTGAGACAGGCCCTTTCCTTCTCCACACAGCTTCAGGGGCGCCCAGAATTACTTGAAAGGGAATTTAAATTTTCCAGAAGTTCAGAAGCCCAGGGCTGTGCGACAGTCTCGATCCCAGGTCCATGCCTGCTAGCATTTGTAAAACGCCAGGGGAATGTGTTCTGTTTAACCACTAACTCAAAACTGACATCCCAGCCTCTTTGCTCACACACACACATACAGAGGAGGAGGGGGAGTGTGCATTGTCGGAAAGATGGTCCGTAGATACTCACTCGTCTGGCTTCTACGAGCTGGACACGGATGAAGAAAGATGATCCTCTTTCCCTTCATTCCTTGACCCTCAGTGGATCGTCAGTTGTTGAGTCACGGATCTTGCAGGCATTCTCAAGTCAGTAGGGTGTTGTTCATGTATCTGAGCAGCCTGTTAGACTGAACTGATTCAAGTCCGCATTAAGGAGGGAACCCAGGGATATGAGGAGCATTGGGGTGGTTATTAGAGGAGTCATATTGGTGTTCGCCAGGAACCATGTGGAGTTTCGATGCTATCAGAGCCTCTGCTTGAGGGCTTCTCTGCCTGAGTTTGGAAGCAGCAACCGCTGGTCTCTTTGCTCCTTCTCTGGCCAGGCCCAAGGGATTCACATGTAGTATCCATTGATCGCCAGAACAGTGGTTCTCGGCCTGTGGATTGCAACCCCTGTATGGCTTCCTTTCCCAGGGATCTCAGAGCAGTAGCCTGCATATCAGATATTTACATTATGATCCATAACAGTAGCAAAATTATAATTATGAGGTAGCAAGGAAAATAACTTTGTGGTTGGGGATCACTGCAACATGAGGAACTGTATTAAAGGGTCACAGCATTAGGAAGGTTAAGAACCGCTGCTTTAGGAAAAGGCAAACTTCTTCCTCTGTCACCATGAAATCTTAGCCTCTCCCGCCTTGTAGGATGCTGGCTGGGAAGGAATTTATCTGATCTTGCATTTTAATTAGGCTTTGTGAAATTTTATCACAATGATAAAGAGACACACACACACAGAGAGAAACACAGATACACAGAGAGAACACGGACACAGACACACACATAGACACATGTCCCAAATAAATTTACAAAAAACAGTTTAAGTTAAACTGGGATATTAAACACTGTCATTAGCTCTAAAGCTGAAAATTTCATAATAAGCCCTGGACGTGCCCCGTTCTGCACATTCATTCATTCATTCATTCATTCTTCCGCAGAGGTTTGAGTCTTTCCCAGGCACAAGGCCTTCCCAAAGGCCATTCCCTAGCCCCTGCCCTCACAAAGCCCTAGTTCTCATGGAAGGTGCAGACAGGGGGTGACTGCAAACCCAGGGAACAACTCTCAGGTAGTGATGACCCAGGGTCTCTAGAGGAGGAGGTCAGGGGAGGCATCCCAGCCCCGAATATCCTCGTGGCTGTGAGCAGAGAGATGAAGGCAGTAAGCAGGGAGCCATGCCGAGACTCAAGGATAGCGTTCCAGGCAGAGGACCCAGCAACTTCAGGGACCTGGGGAATGTAGGCGATGACGTTCTCCTGCACCGAGTGGGAGACGCACACCCTCACCACACACCTAGGCCGAGAGACGAACACTCCTGCTCTGGAGCTGGGGTTCATCTTTCCAGTAAACACTAAGGTCCCCATATTGCGGGATGTTTCTCTTTCTTCCTAGCCTTCCTCTTAACCTGCTGGAATGCACCCACCACTGCCCAACTCACTATTGAATTAGTGCCCCCCATGGTTGCTGAAGGTGGAAACTCCGTCCTATTTGTGCATAAAATGCCGCTGAACGTCCAGGCATTTTACTGGTACAAACAGAAAGATGCGACCAAGAGCTACGAAGTTGCACGCTACTTAACACCCGATAACACAACGTCGAAGATGCCTCAACACAGTGGTAGGAAAACGGTATTCTACAGTGGATCCCTGCTGATCAGAAACGTCACCCAGGCTGACAGTGGATTCTACACCTTACTGACGTTCAACACAGAAATGCAAAGTGAACTCACACACGTACATCTGGAAGTATACAGTAAGTGATCATGTGACCTCCGGGTGCCGGGGTGGGGCTCATTCCATTTAAACACACAGGACCCATCAGGCTTAGACAATGCCCATCTTCTGCGTGGGTTTCCTCGCTGTAGTTTGAGCATTTAGTACAGGACACACACTGGGGAGGAAAAACAACAGTAGGTCAGAGTCCTTTACCTCCAAACTCTTGGGGCTTTACCATGAACATGGCCCTGAAAAAGATGGTTTGGATTCAGGAAGGGCCTGACTGAGGAAACCATGGGGTTCTCACAACGAGGTGACCACAAGAAAGTCCTGACTCCAGAACTCTGTGCCAGACTGGTCTCCAGGGGACGCAGGGATCTTTCCTCCAGGGCTGGACTTTGACTTCCTATTAGAGATGACAGGGGACAAGGCTTTGTTGACTGTTTGTCTCATCTCAGGTGGGACCAGCCGAGCACTGAATGGAGGGTCACAGTTAGGCTAGGTCACCTGGACATCTTCTGAGTCTCAGCATGGAGCGTCCCGCTGTTCTGAGGGGTTCATGGGGACACACGTCCTTCTGGCAACTGTCCAGCCCAGATGACTCTCTCCTGTAGGCAGAGTAACAGACTCGGATGTTTGGGAAGCCCCCACCTCTGAAGATCAGGTTCATATTTAAGTCACCTTAAATATGTCACCTTATAGACATGGCAGCGATCATTTGTCATGTGCATTATTATTATTATTATGGTTTTTCAAGACAGGGCTTCTTAGTGCAGGCCTGACTATCCTAGAACCCACCAGGCTGGCCTCGAACTCACAGACCTCCGCCTTCCTCTGCCTCCCTAGTGCTGGGATTAAAGGCGTGTGCCAACACTACCAAGCCATGTGCCCTATTATGTGGAAACAGAGATACATACAGGAAGCACAGTGATGGAATTAGGGCCACACAGACTGTGGGAGGCAGATATGAAGCAGTATATGTCTGTCTACAGCCTCAGGACCAACTTCTCCACCCTGGATGCCTTACCAGGTGTCCATGGCCCAGAGAGGGCTGGCTGGGCTCTGAGGATGAACCTCCATAATTCGGTCCTCTCCTCTGTTCCTTCACAGAGCCTGTGGCACAGCCCACCCTCCAAGCAGACAAAACCACAGTAACAGAAGATGGTTCTGTGACCCTCACCTGCCTCCCAGAAAACTCTGGACTCTCCATCCGCTGGCTCTTCAATCGCCAGAGCCTGTATTTCAACAGCAGGATGACGCTGTCCCAGAAAAACAGTCAACTCGTAATAGATCCGGTCAGGATGGAGGATGCTGGGGAGTATCAGTGTGAGGTCTCCAACGGGTACAGTTCTAAGACAAGTCCTCCAGCCCAAATGTCTGTGACCAGCGAGTGACCTGTCCTCTCTCCAGGCACCACAGGGTGGGGGGTTCTTTGTCAATGATATGGAAAATGGAGAAGCGTTCTAGGAGGAATCAGCGAAGACCATAAGACAGCCAGCAGGACGACACAGATCTGTAGTCCCGGATTAAACAGAGTCAGGAGGAATGTGCATTGGAACCAGCGAGGGCTACAAATATAAACCCAGTCCCCCCCCAAAATTAATATAGTAAGCAAAACTACAAAGGGGATTAATTAAGGGCCCCCAGACTTCTGGATGTTCTGAATCCCCTGTGCTGCGGTGTCTGCACAGAAGCAGACATATCCTCCCACAGGCTCAAATCATTTCTGATGCCAACACCAACTTCATCCACATGAAGAGAGGAACAGGAGAAGGAACTGCCCGTGATTCACTGAGGACATACCTTGTTTCTGAATACTTTTAATTCAAGGTTTTTTCCATCCACAGATGGCGTGAAGGCCCAACTGGGCTGTTTCTGAGACTGGCATGTACAGTGTGTCCCTGATTTTTCTGTTAACAAGATTTAGGCGTGTGCCAAGCATGTGTGTGTGCATGCATGTATATATTTAAATGGCTTCCCACTTTAGCAGTTTTGAAGTGTCCGGTTCACTGGCATAAAGCATCTTTATATCACTGTGTAAACACCACGACAGTCAGTTTCCAGGCCATTTCTAAGCCAAAGCCCTTGGGACGGTCAGTCTACTTCTGTCTCTCTGGAGGCGGTGTTTGTCTTTTTTTGTTAGCCTCATACAAAGTGTGATTCTGTTCTCTCAAGCCACTCTGTTGTCGGCATTCCGCTGGCTAGATATTCATTAAAGGCCATCCCTGGTACACTTGGTACATCTTTTGTTGTTTCTTTTACATTCTTGTCTCCTGTTGACCACCAGAGGACAGTCTGTCTACTTGATTTTCGGCCTTAAATTCATTTGCAACTCCCTGGGACTCCTATAGAGTCAAGGTGGATACCAGAGGACTGGGTAATGGCCTCTCAGCCTTGGGATTCGTTTTTGCTAAGAGGAGAACTAAAGGCCAAAGGCCAGGGTAAGGAGCATGGGCAGTTGGACCAATGTGAGGGTCCAGGACCAGCTGGGTGCGGCTCAAGGAAAGCTGTCGTGTCCACAGCACCACTGTTAGCTCAGGACACAGTGAGTACTGAGTGACTGCAACATATCCTCTGCTGCTTGAGACATGGATGGGGGAGGAGACCCTCTATTACCCTGCCATGTGAGACATGAGGAGTAATTCACCATTCCTGCTGATGAGGGGGTTCCTATATGCCAGCCTGTACAGTTGGGAGTCCCCATGCTTCCTTACCCCATGACAAGGCTAGCATAAATTTTCTCCTGTGGGGTCTCTATGTCCCATCCCAGGGAAAAGGGTACGGTTGAGCCGGGATGTATAAAAGAAAACTTATTTATTATGCATAGTGTATTGCTGCTGGCATGTATGCCTACATGCCAGAAGAGGGCACCAGATCTTACTACAGATGGTTGTAAGCCACCATGTGGTTGCTGGGAATTGAACTCAGGACCTCTGGAGGAGCAGTCAGGGATATACTCTGAGCCATTTCTCCAGCCCTCACATATCAACCACTTTTATTGAGGGCATGTACTCATGTCAACTCATTCTGGGTAAGCTTCTGTCAGGACACTTAGCCAAAGTTAAAACAAAGAAAAGTCTACCGCCAGTATGTCTTTTAGGTGATCAGGTACTGTCAGGTTCCTGGCAGAGTTAATCTTATGAGCTCTGTAGTTGATCCACCAAGGAAAACTAAGGACATATGTTTATCTATGCAAGAAAGTTCCTCCGGAATAAGCTCCCAAGGTCCCAATGAGGAGCAGAAGGAGGGAGAACATGAGCAAGGAAGTCTGGACCGTGAGGGGTGCACCCACCCACTGAGACAGAGGGACTGATCTATTGGGAGCTCACCAAGGCCAGCTGGACTGGGACTGAAAAAGCATGGGATAAAACCGGACTCTGAACAATGAGGACTGATGAGAAGCCAAAGACAATGGCACTGGGGTTTGATCCTACTTCATGTTCTGGCTTTGTGGGAGCCTAGCCAGTTTGGATGCTCACCTTCCTAGACCTAGATGGAGGGGGGAGGACCTTGGACTTTCCACAGTGCAGGGAACCCTGACTGCTCTTCGAACTGGAGAGGGATGGGGAAAGGAGTGGGGTGTAACGGCGTAAGCGAATGCAGACAGATTGTCAAACTATAGACAGCTTTAATGGAGGAATAGACTTACAGAACCACCGTTCTGCGGAGACCAGGAAAGCAGAAGCAAGCGCTGGGAGCACGCTTGCCAAATTTATAGGCAAACTTTAGCCTGAGACAAACACGCCCCCTAAGGGGTGGGACTTATCCCTACAGTGGGGAGAGGGGGAGTGGTGTGGGAGGAAGGGGAGGGAAATGGGAGGCTGGGAGGAGGCGGAAATTTTAAAAAAAAAAAAAAAAAAAAAAAAAGAAAGTTCCCTCTGGCTACACTAGACAGGTGTCAATTTGCACAGATAGCAGGGATGCTGTTTTAGCTGTGAAATCATCAATTTCCCATGAAAGATTGGGGTCGAGAGGCCAGGGACACAGGACTGAAGAAAAGCAAAGCAAAAGTCTCAACTTACTTGAGAAGCAGAGTGTTGACTCTTTATTCTCAGCCAGACCATACTATTACCACTCTGATTATAAAATACATACTGCATAGGATACCGATCTGTAATATTTGCTCTTTTCTTACTGGGCAAAGAGCTGCTTTTTATATGTTACCAGCTGAGTCTTTTCCCAGAAGATAATTATGAAGAACAAGGAAATGCCTGTTGGAGTGTCTCCTCACTGGAGGGAGAAAAGTATGAACTCACTTCTGAGTTTGAAAACCCACCAATTCCTGATCTTGAAAATCCACCAATTCATGAGCTCCAAAGCCCACCAATCCTGACCCAAGCTCAGGACTTGAAATCCTACCAATCCCCACCCCGAATTCTCCACCCTGGGAACCTCTGCCCCCAAGAAGCCCTATATAAGCCTGTCTCCTGCTCAATTCCCCGCTGCTTCCCTCCAACCTTTGGGTCTTCCACAATAAAGCTCTTGCATGAGGTGTGTTATGCAGTGTGACTTTGGTATTCCTTGGCTCCCAACTGTCAGAATGCCATTCCCCTCAGAACTGCAACACACGCGTGGTCATACTTAAAGGACTTGGGGCTCAGCAATGCAGATATGGAACCTAGTACTGAGGAGAGCTGAAGCCTCCGACAGGGGAATACTCAAACCAACAATATACCAAGAAAGGAGACTGCTTACCTCAGAGGCTAAAGAAGTTAAACACGGAGTACAAATTCTCCAGCTCCTAGAAGCTGTCTGATCTCCCCTGGCTATGGCAGTGATACACTACCAGGCTCACACAAAGAGCCAAGGTCCAGTCCATGAGAACACAGCTCCAAAGTCTCCTCACATTACCCCAAAAACTCCTCTCTCATATAGGCCAGAAAGGAGGGAAAACAAACAAAAACTGATATGGGCCAGTAAGATGGTTCAGTGAGCCAGTGAGTGAAGGCCCTACCATCAAGCCTGATAACCTGAGTCCAGCTCCCAGGACCAACCAGGGGGAAGAGAGAATCAACACTTGTAGATTGTTTTCTGGCCCCCACAAGAACCCTGTGGCATGCCCATGCACCCCACACACACACTAATAAATAAAAAAAAATAAGTTTAAATGTATAACAAACTAATAACAGAGCTACTAAAAATCAGGAGGGCTGGCTGAATGCCACAGATAGAAAAATAATACCAGAGACCCTGGCTCCCAGCCTAGTCTGGCAAGCTCACACAGCAACCCCTCTGGGGAAAACTGCCCTATGAGAACTGTTGCAAGAGGCCGGTTGTGGTGGCTCCTTTGATCCCAGCACTTGGGAGGCCAGTCTAACCTACAGAGAGAGTTGGAGAGCTAGAACAACTAGGGCCATCTTGAAAACAAACCACAACAAAAAGAAATGTTGCAAATATATTTAGTGGTCCTGATGTTGCCAAGACTGACCCAATAAGCTAATAAGGACTATCTGCAGTGTGCTCAGGATAACTCCACGCAGGGCCCCAGGGTCCCATGCTAACACTAAAACTAGGGGCCTACCATTTAAACATCTAGAGATGGTCTTTACTGACTCTGACCAACAGAAGGCACCAATGGTCACTGCTTATGGCATGCACATTCTGAGGCAGGGTAGACCCCTTTCCTGCCTGTAAAGAGAATTAACTTGGAACCTGTGCACATGTTACCACCCCCAACCTTTAGGCATGCTTGTGAAAATAAACAAGATTTTTTAAATGGCACTGAGATGACTCAGGGGTTAAGAGAACTGACTGATCTTCCAGAGGTCCTGAATTCAATTCCCAGCAACCACATGGTGACTCATAACCATCTATAGTGGGATCTGGTGCCCTCTTCTGGCATAAAGTTGTTCATGCAGATAGAGCATGCATATTTAAAATAAGAAAATGCAACAGGAAAAATAAAAAAGGCACTGGCAAGCGTTGCCCAGAAACAGACCTCCCTCGACCAGAAATTCTGCCACCTGTCCTGTTTGAGGCGCATTGTATGTTCTGTAAATGTGGTTATTCTCCTTTTGAGGTAATGCTTGTCCACCCACCACATCCCTGCCACAGAGGATTCTTAAGAATTGGTACGTGGGTCTCATGAAGGTAAGAAGAGTATGAAGTAGAATAAGATAGAAAAGACCAATTAATAGATACCGACTGATCAGTTTACGTAGTGATCTGCACAAAGTGCTGCTCTATCTGCCAGAGCGTGACTTCGCTGGCAACCTGGAACAGAGTGCCCTGGAGACATAACAGAAATGATGGTCGCTGCCCTCCCAAAGAGAGGGCCACACAGGCTTCTGTGAAATGTCGCTTGTCTGCCCTGCCTGTGCCTTTCGGGTATAAAACGAGAATACAAACTGGACTGGTTGTGTGTGTGTGTGTGTGTGTGTGTGTGTGTGTGCGCGTGCGTGCGCGTGCGTGCGTGTGTGTGTGTGTGTGTGTGTGTGAAGTCGGAGGACAATGGAGGGAGATGGTTCTCTCCTTCCTCCATGACTTCTGAGGACTGACTCAGGCCATCATGTTTGGCAGTAGGGTGTCTTTATCCATTGACCCATCTCCCTAGTGCTGTTTTTTTGAGATTTTTGAGACAAAGTCTGACTCTATAGACCAGGCCAGCCAGAGAGTCTCCATATAACTTAGGAGAGCCTCAAATCCATAGCAATACACTTCAGTGGAATCACCGAGTCTGGACTGGTTCTTAATTTTATTTTATGTATATATGTATTTATATGTATGCGAAAGGTTGTGCCAGAGCTACATCCCTAACCTCAACTATTTTAAATAGAATAGTGCATGAACATGGAAAGACAGGTACATTTTTAGGTCCACAGGGTTTCCTTATTTAAACTACTATTCTTGCTGGGCGGTGGTGGTGCTTTAACCCAGCACTCGGGAGGCAGAGGCAGGTGGAGCTCCATGAATCTGACGCCAGCCTGGTTTACAGAGTGAGTTCCAGGACAGCCAGAGATATAGAGAAACCCTGTCTTTGAACGGGGTTGGGGAGAGAGAAAAAGAAAAAGAGGGAAAGAAAAAAAAGGAAGGAAGGAAGGAAGGAAGAAAGACAGACATGAAAGTAGGAATTTGGGAAAGAAGGGAGTAATAGAAGGTAGTGCGGGAATATTATCAAAATACATTACACATGAATGAAATTATGAAATTTTTAAAAACTCAAAAGAAAAACTACTATTCCCAGCATGCCCTTGGGAGGGAACTTTGGGACAGGGAGGTGAGTGGG